GTAATTAGAGACCTGCTAATAAGGTATGTTTAACGCTCTAGCAGCGCTGTAGATACTGCGAAATTAGCTAGCATAGAAGGCCTAGATAGTAAGGATAACTCTACCTTCTCTAGTAGTATTCTAAAGTTGTTATTATTAAGGTATGTTGTGTTAGGGTAAAAGGTAGTTGTGCTAAGAGAAAGTGGCTAGTTTAGTGATATGGCCGGCTTGGTGATAATCTACGTTATAGAGAGCTTAATTATAATTAAAGAGATAAAGAGAGGACAGCAATTGTGTAAAAGATCTGTTTGTTGCCTTGCAATTAGTTGTTATAGTTACTAGATTAACTAATTAGAGCGGCACTAGAGCAAACAGCAGCCCCACTAAAGTAAAGGAGAGTAATCTTGACAGGGATTACTCAGGTAACAACTTAGCTGCAATACAGGCACCTGGATTAGTGATCTAGGCACCTGGGGGGTGTGTCGCAGCAAAGATTGAGGTGAGGGTGCATATCACGTGATCTGTATCTGGATATTGGACTGATCAGACACTGGCGATCTATCACGCCATGGTGAGCGGAATCGGGTACAGCTTGGAGCCGTGATTAGGGCTCCAATCAAGGTATAGCTGGATGAGCATTGGTGTATATATTCTGCTCATTCAGCACCGTAGATAGAACAAGGAACTTGATCACTTTCTTCACACTTGATCAACGATCAGAGACTACTCAGCTTCCACACAACTTAACTTGTTGTAACAGGGTTAGAAAGAAGAGGCAGGCCTAAGGCTATTCAGCCAGGTAATCGCGAGTAGGTAACGGTGATTGCTGCAATCAACGCTGCTGGCTGGTCAGTCCCGCCGTTCCTTATCTTCGCTGGCTAGTATCATCTATCTGCCTGGTACAAGGAAGTAGAGATCCCACGCAACTAGGTAATTACAGTTAGCAACAATAGCTAGACAAATAACAAGCTAGGAGTAGAGTGGCTGAAGCACTTTAACGCTTATACAAAGACTTGCGTTGTTGGTGCGCGTCGCCTGCTTGTCCTTGACGGCCATAAGAGTCATCACCCTCTTAAGTTTTAAGAGCTCTGCAAGGAGAACAATATCTATACGCTCTGCATGCCGCCTCACTCATCCTATCTACTGCAGCTGCTTGACGTTGGCTGCTTCTTGCTGTTAAAGCGCGCGTATAGCCGTAAGGTTGAGAGCCTTATCTGCCACCACATTAACTATATCACCAAGCTTGAGTTCCTGCCAGCCTTTAAGGCAGCGTTCAGTCAATCGTTCACCTCAGCCAATATCTGCTCAGCCTTTCGAGGTACAGGCCTTGTGCCTCTCTAACCAGACGCTGTGCTCTCAAAGCTTGACGTGCAGCTACGTACACCTACTCCAGATACTCTGCTAGAGGCTCTCTAGGAAGCTCGTACGCCAAGCAACGTACGTGAACTTGATGCTCAATCAACGTTAATACGCGATCGCGTGCGGCGGCACAAGAGCTTGTCACCAGCTTCAATTATTAAGAGGATAAACTTAAGAAGGGTGCTGAGGTAGTGATGCTCTTAGCTGAGCTAATGCGCGATTAGATTGCCAGCCTTGAGAAGGCTAATGAGGCAGCGTCAGCGCGCAAACAGCGTAAAAAAAGGCGTATATAGCAGTATAGGATCTTAACAAAGGGAGCTAGAGAGGATTTACTTACTTAACGTGAGGCTGATTAGCAGATTGCTCGTGAAGAGCGTTAAGAAGGAGAGCAATTAGGCCGCAGCCGCCAGGCACTCGCGCGCTGCAAGAGATGCAGAGAGACTAGACACAACTTGCGTATGTGCAAAAAAGATACTTTAGATACTGCTTAATTTACTCTATAAATATCTATACATTACATTATCACGTTGTTAAGATATATGATTGTAAAGGTGCGCAAAGTTGGTTGGGTGGCTCACTCGCTTTGATGGCTCACTCGCTTAGTACTGTAGTTACGTTTAACTAGCAGAAACAGAGAACATACCTTGTAGCAAGTGCGCTTCTTATTATGGCAGAACTTGCAAGACAGCTTGCTATTAAAAACATAAACCTAGTAGTTAAGCACGCAGTTAATACACACCTCTAGATTAGGCACAGACGCGTCTTGGGCAGACTTAGAGCTGCGCTCAGTGACAGTCTGCAGGGTGGGTGGCAAGCATGTTGGTGGGGAAAAGCTCCCTGTTGGCCGCAGTCAACGCGCTAGATAGCAGGACACTAGAGGCAACTGACGCCTTTGCATAACAACACCTCTTAGCAGGAGACTTGTCCCTCTTAACGTTAGCTATAGTAAGAAAATAGTAGCACTATAAAGCTAACGTAGTACAACAGGACGTGAGCACTATCTGCAGCAAAGGACCTAAACAGCAGAACTTACAACAGGCATGGTACGTTTAGAAGTTAAGTAATAAATAGAGCAGCAGAGAGACATAAATAGAAAAGGGAAAGTGTGATGGGTATAGCACAGCTTAAGGCAGGGAAGTAACAGGTAACGCGCCTAGGAATAAAGGTTGCACAAAGTAGAGTTTAGAGACTAATTGTTGTTCTAAAAATAATCCTATAAACAAAGCTATAGTAGGGGGGGTACTATAACAGGCTAGGTCTGTACTAAGGTCTTAGCACTAGAGGCCTTAATTGCTAGAAGCTAACAAACGCACAAGCGGAGGCTGCCAAAACTCCACACTAGAGAGTGTCAGCGCTTAAGCTCCACACTGGAGACCGTCAGCACTTGAGCTCCACACTAGAGATTATTGGCATACAGACTCCGCGCCGGAGAACAAAACCCACTAGAAGTCTCCAAGCTGGAGCCTGCATCAATTCCATCTGAATTTTACTTGCACTTAGCCCTCAGCGGCCAGCTCCTTTACATCTGCTGTGACAGTAATCTATGCTTAGCATTACTGCATATGCAAGCAAGATTACGTAGGTGCATGCGTAATTATACACGTCAGTATCTACAAAGTAGGCTACTCTATTTGTAAGCATATTATCTAGAATATTCTCCAGTTACTAAAAATAGAGAACAACATACCCCAAGAAGGAGAGAGGATATTAGCTTAGTAAGCAAACTATTCTAATCCTCTCTTTAAGGAGGTTATAGCAACAGTGCTTGTGTAAGCATAGCGCTATACCTAAAAAGGAAATACGCTAGAGAAAGATTATAAGAGCAAAGTCTTATAACTTTACAAGCAGTCTAGTTGTTCTTAGAGACTACAATAACCTAGTCCTAGGGTAGATCTTCCTCCTTGTGCTAGGCAGAGAGAAGATAGTAGGCTGGCGGATGGGTAGGGTAGGGTACATCGGGAAAAGTTTTTCGAAATCCGGCCTAGACTGGCTGTTGCTGACAGTTGTGGCATGGTCGTGCAACGGCTGTTCAACGGCCCCAACAGCCCTAATTTGCGCCCAACAGCCCTAATTTCGCGCCAACGTTGCTAACAGCTAAAACACTAAGTGCCTATATTTAACAAACTTAAAACAATGTTGCAATGTTGTTATATAGCTACCCTTAGTGCTAGCACTAGCATTAAATATTTAAAAATTGCGAAATTTCACGTACAGATAGAGCGAAATTGTAGATTTAAAATAAGCAAAAAATTATTGTTGTAGGCCTACTACAACGCAAGTTATAGAGCGTTAAAGGTTTGTTTGTTGAAGGTTTGTGTTTTGAAGTTGCAACAGCACACCACACCATAGCAGCTGCAGCTGCGCCCGCACACAACGTAGCAGCTGCAACAGCATACAGCATGGCACCTGCTGACCAACACACACACACACACACACACACACACACACACACACACACAGCAGCAGCGCAACAGGAGCTTGCAGGACAGGCAGGCCTAGGCGTAAAATTCTTGGTTTACCTACTATTCTTGAATAATATTCTTATATTTTCTAACATTCAGGCTGCTAGAGCCCTAGCAAAGAATCTTAACTTAGTGTCTTGGCAAGGAACATTAAGCTTAAAACCTTCTACGCTTAATAACTATTTTATTACTAGGCCTATAATGTTGTTTAATAGCTTATTTTAAAGAGGAGACTTAGTAGTATATTAATATAATAAAAGTATAGTTTATTAAGCAGAGCTACTATTGTAGCAGGATTAGGAGTTATTGTGGCCATTGCAGCCATTGGGACCGTTGGAGCCGTTGGCTCAAAATTGGCTCAAAATTGGCTAGACATTGAATGCACATTGAATGACTGTTGTAGGCCTACCAGTCCTACTGTTGCCCACAGTACAATGCCACGATTTCCCAATTTCGACAATGGAAAAACTTTTCCCGATGTAGGCTTTTTTTAGTTTTTGCTTCTAGCTCCTTAACCAGTAGAGATACGCTTATGTAATTGTAACGGTCTAGACTCTAAAGCTAAAGAAGAGCTAGAGCTAGCCGGTTACATTAGCTTAGCCGGCTTGGCTTAAGCTGGATATATATTATCTACGCAGTTAATTAGACGTCTAGTTAACTTGTGCATGCTTTTTAGCAAAAGTTGTTAGGAAGTAGATATCCTTTATTGGCCTTTGGCCAGACTACTACAGTAATGTTTGTTCAATTCTTAGAGTCCTAACCTGTCGCAGCAGATATCATGCCTATTTACCTGCCAATTTAGGGGTGCAAATATATGTACATTTTGCCTCTATTTTGGCTGCAACAGTTATAAGCCTGGACGCTGAAGCTGTGCAAGCAAAGGTTAAATAGATTTTTGTGTTCTATAGGTGACTATAGCTAAGCCTTGGCATAGTACCTGCTTAACTAGGGCTACTATCTAGAGTATAGTGTAGAGCATCACAAAGAAGGATTCACCTACTTAGCATGTTAGGCATTTCTCTGCGTTAAGTCACCTCTAATTATGCTGTCCTAGTTAGACGTAAGGGGGTGTGTCGCAGCAGATATCATGCCTATTTACTAGCCAATTCAGGGGTGCAAATGTATGTACATTTTGCCTCTATTTTGACTGCAACATAACCCGAACACCGAGCATGTCTAATCTCAGACATATCGAATATCCTACACCTCGCGAATGAGGTTCCACTCAGCTACAGTTCCTCCCGCAGTCGCATTGTCGCTATACTGGTTGCCCTTCACACCCAGGTGCGCATAGCGTCCACTCCAGACGCATTCGCTCAAAGTGATGTTTGTCTGGTTGCCCACGTACGTCTTAATCTCATATGCTGTCACAGGATCCCAAGGCGCGCTGATCTCCACCTTGCCTGCTGTTACGTTTCTCACGTCTGCACTGAATGGTTGCGCCGACAATGTCGGTAGCGATGAGTTCGTAAAAAATATCTCGAAGTGCGATGGGGGCTGCTCGCCCCAGTCCATTGCGATCTTGTTGATTGGGTAGAACGACGAGCCACCGAGATCGACAGTGAGATAGCTGGTAGCATTGGACGCCTCAGGTTGCCACTTGGTGCTTGCTGCACCGTCAATTGCTGCTATAGGGAACTGACCAGGCTTGTTCGCTTGAGGAGGTGGCAGCAAGGTGCCGCACTGCAACAAGTTGCCCGTGACAGTAAGAGTCTCGCCCATAGGTCGGTTGCGAATGACCAGAGGCTCGTCGCCAAGCTCTAAGACGGTGCTGTTGCGGCCACTGCGGGTACCAACAGTGACTGGGATGGGCTTGTCGAAATATGTCGCATTTGCTGTAGGGAGCGTGTGTTGATCTCGAGGTAGGCGTGCAAGAATCGTGTGAGTAGTGTTCGAAGTAGCATTGATCCCGTGGCCCATCCAGTAAAATGTCCGGTAGTCTAAGCGCTCAATTTGCGGAGGCAAAGAGGGGTCGATATCCAGCCGGTCGTAGTACAGCCCGAGACCTAAGTATCCGAAGATCGCTACACGATTCGTGCCCCCCATGCCAGTGAGGAAAGGAAATGCAGGATGCGTACCACCATTCTCTTCAATGTTGTCGATTAGCTGCTCCGAATACTGATACCAGGGCGCTCGCACGTATGGCGAAGCCGAGTACATGTTGTAGGTAAAGCTGGAACATCCAGAGGGCGAAACCTCATTCGCGACCACAGCGAACGATGAGTATGTCATGGCTGGGCCGTCAAGAGATTGCTTCGCGGCGTAGTAATCGAGGTTGGACAAGCTGTATGAGTTCGGATAGTGAAGGAGATCGTCGATCAACACAACGTCTGCCTGCTTGACTTGAACTGAGCCATTCATACCTGCATACTCCACAATGATGCCGGCGTTTTCGTTGACAGGTAGGCGTATTCTTGCGGCTTTGTCCGTCCAGCTAACATTGGAACTGAGCCCGAACCATTCGTTGAACTCGTTGGTCTCGAGGAAATGACGCTTAATCAGCGCAGTCGTGTAGCCCGCGTTGTTGACTTGGTTGGCGTACTCGTCAGGATCCGTCGCATTCCAAAGTTCGAATGCACCCGAAGTCTCGTTGAAATCGAGCACTTGCCCAAAAAAGTGTGCAATAGCATTTGAGATAGGTAACAGAGTATCCTTGAAGAACTCTTCATCGCCCGTGATGATCATGTGGTTGTTGAACGCCAGACTGATATCGCCATTAAGATGGTACTCGTAGTCGAAGCATGCCCCAGTACCTGTGCAGTTCCCGAATCGACCACTTGTCCAAGGATACACTGCACCGCCTGGTGTAAACCTTCCTGTCTGATTCTTACTAGATGTATACGCAGTCTCAACATTTCTCTGCGCTTGCCCGAAGTGTTCAACCCTGTAGTTGATGACATTTTGTGCGTGTTGCGGGTGAGACACTTGCAAGCCTGGTGCTATCCACACATCGGCGTCCCAAAAGATCATACCTCCATAACAGTCGGATCCGAGTCCGCAGACTGGGACACTGTTAATGTTCAGCTTTGTATTGTTGTCAGCTGCCGCTATAGCGTTAGGGCCAATCATGTTGGATAGTAGGTAGAATGGATTCGTTCGGGCCAGGATGTGAAGCTCCTGAATGTTTGGGTCTGCGGGAAGAGATCCGTTCTGGAGGTAATAGTCATCAACCGAGTCGGGTGTCAGGATAGACTCCCATTCTTTGATGTGCGAATGCAGCAACGAATAGTAGCCCTCTTCTGAGCCCGACTGCGAGGCATTCTTTGCAACAGCTTGAGGATCGGGGAAGGCGTCTGTCGATGCGACACCAACGAACTTGGTGAGCTCAGTCGGCTTCCAGGCTGTCAATCCCAGCCGCACAGACTGTGCAATAGACGAACCGTTGCCGCTGCTGAAGAAGCCTTCCGGAACTTGCGAACGCGTATCAAAATCCACCCAGTCGCTACCATTCAATGTTGAATAGACGTAAGCCGTAACATTGGTGATGTTGCCTGGCTGGACAGCAGACCAGATTGTTGCTGAGTCTTCCTCGTAATTCTTGGCAATGAAATCGGATCGAACGGCACAGTCGCCGTCTAACACATCGTACACAGTGACATTGACATCGCGGGTCGCTATGAGCCGCAATCGAACGGCCGCATTGTTTACGAAGAGCTTGTGCACAAAAAGCTGATAGTCCACATCGATAACAGCCGATCCATCGCTCGGCTTCCAATTGTACCGCCAACTGGCGATACCAGCCTTGACATTGAGACTTGAAACGAAGTCTGTGATGTGGTCCGGATTGACTGAAGCGTTCAGCAGCTCTCCATTCGCTTCGATCTGGAGCCCACTCCAATGTGGGATGCCAGCAACGAAGCTCTCCCAGCCGTACTGGTACAGCCAGGGATAATTCGTGCCATTCGTTCGAGCCTGGCTGTTCCAAAAGCCGGCGATTGTAGAGAATGTCTGTCTGCGACTGAAAAGAGGCCAGCCGCTAATGACATTACCGTCTACCGGCTCGTCGGCTTCAAAGAATGGCCCAGCTGAGGCGACATTGATTCCAAAATATCCATTGGCAAGAGTCAAACGTGACTGGTAATGACCTTGATCTAAGGAATGAGTGTGGATCGTCCAGTTGTCATCATCCCATTGCACCTGCTCGAATTGATTCTGCTCGCTGCTACTCGAACCCGAGACTAAGTGCGTTGTTGCTAAGAAAGCAACGAGGGCTCGTGCTAACGACGCGAGCATGTGACGATATCGAGTGTGATGTCGAGTCAGATAACAAAGTGCTTCGCAGGTACGCGGTTGCAGATACGCGGTCTTATATACCGGCAAAGCAAGGTCGAGTGCCACGACGATGTGTCAACGCGCTGGGATCCGTTACCGTCACACGACGAGCGACCGTTCGCTGCCCTATACTTTCTTTCTTCACCGCTTCGCCGCTAGGTCGACGGGCTGGCAGATTTGATGGCTCTAGAGGACACTATCGCTCCGCCACGGCTCCACAAATCCAGATCTTCAGCCCGCCTGGTCCAACATGCACGCCACCTTCTGCATGATAAATGCGTTCACTCACGTTGGCAGACATATCTGCGGGCAGATACGAAGAGAGAAGTGAAAGATACGACGACCACCAACTGAAAAAGGTGGAAGCCCACGGATGCACAACCGCAAGGGTCTGCATAAATGCGGCGATATCGCTAGACGCTAGCTGAGATGGCGACGTGATTGGCTCTTTCTCGACTCGTGATTTCGCGCTTCCTCACGGTGACCCGAACATCGATTCGCATCCGTCTTACAACGCAGCCTTCCGGCGTTTCCTGCAGGTCTTTTAACGTTCTCATATGTGTATCCCGTGCAACCGTTGAGCTTGTCAGCCTAGGAGGCGTGGACGAGTCACCCGCACTCGCGTGCTACACCCAAAGCCAATTGTCGTCATAGGGATCAGCCAGATGACTTGCAAGAAGCTAAGTCAGCTCCTGATACTTGAATGTCCTCGCATCTTAGATCAGGTAAGACACTGGTGAAGTTTAAGCCGATCTCGACATCAGGTCACGCTCCTCTGCCACTGTGCGCGTATTGGATCGATCATTGGCAACTTCTTCATCGGAGTGCACCACGACAGGTCAATCCGGTTCTATGAAACACTCTATGAAGTCCATCCTGGACCGCGGAGATGATCCACACCTCTAGGGCTTATGCTGACAGAACGTGATCCTGGCGACTTTGGGACGGTCAAACCTTGGTACTGAGCTTCTTCTCCGAGTCCGTTCTCCCTAAATTTGCTCGATTGACATGCCGTCGGAAGCCAATGCACCGCCTGCCGGTGATGTCACAGTAGTCATACAGTCGTTGAGCGCCAGGGTCGATGATTTGCGGTGCACAGTGTTGCTTTCGGAGATTGGATCATAGGCATAACGCATCCCTTCTCCAGCTGAGAGCTTTCCCATCTGCTCATGCCAGTTTTCATCGCGATAGCCAACAAGATAATCCGAGTTGTATAGGTCGGCCCTTAGAAGGTCCCACCGAGCCTTGCTTGCAATACCAAACAGCCTGAATCTAATTGCACTTGTCCTGGCACTGATTCCTGCCATGTAGGCCACACATAGGCCCCCTGAGGTCGATGCACCGTATTTACGGAAGTTGATATACTACCTCTCCATCCGTTTGTGCTCATGGCCGCTTGGAGTGCCTTTGCTTAACAGTTTCTCGGTTAAATACAAAGGATGCCTCAAGGCCAAGACGATACCAGATACTTTGGGCTGCAGTCAAAGCGACCGGGCTGACCCCTGCGGCTTCTTTGGTCGTGGTGGTGTATGAAAATTTCTACACCAGCTCATAAGGCACCACCAAATACTCTGCAAAGGCGCCCGATCGGTTGTTAACACTGCATGCACCCTGGAGGAAGTTGGCTACATGACCTCCATCCGTAATCGTGCTCAATGGAACCTGCGTGTCGAAAGCTACAACTTTGTAAATCACTTCCCATGGTTCAACCTCAGCTTACAAGCGGGTGTGCGACATACAGCGGGTTGCTTGCCTCATTAGAAGCTGATGTCGGTTGTTGGATGTCCTGGACGTCAGCGGTCCTTCCTTCAACATCCAGGACGAGTACTCTCGTGTCTGACAAGAATCTGGTCATACGGTTTCAAGTAGAAAGATGACTTTGCAAAAATTTGCCTTGCGTAGAAATGGCTGCGCCATTACTGAACATACTTGTCCAGCGACCGAGTTGTGCATGTCGTCGCACATTGTGAGCAGCTTACGCCCTTCATGTTAAGGGGCATATATATGTACGTCGTGTCACACGGACAAGGCTGAATTGACAGTACCCCGATTCGCACCGATGCGTCTCGTTGTGCAGATACGCGGGCTGTCGTTATTTGAAGGAGGAAGTGCCATGTTGATGAGGCAGCACGGTCGCTGACTGCCTGAAAGACGAATTTGCCCCAGCCAGCGGGCCTTCCCACGTGGAGCCAGTACACAGCAACGCCTTCTACAACGTTATAACACAACGACAACATATCAGCGCGGACCGATGGAATCCTTGCCAGAGGAGCTGCTTATGCAGATCGTAATGCATGTCGAGCAACAACATAGCCTCGCAGGCCTTTGCCGCATAAACCATCGCCTGAATCGTATTGTCGCCCCAGTCTTGTATGAGCGATATCAAACCAGCTATGCTGGCATGCCCAGTCGCTATCTTACGACACTTATCCAACGACCCGATTTAGCCAGCCGTGTCAAGTCGCTGCGCTGGGACTACAGTACGCTCGCAAAGGATCGGATCTCCATGTTCGACTCGAAGGACATTCAACAAACGTTGCGCGCTTTCGAGTACCCCGTTTCAACCATTGCAGTTCGATGCGTAGAAGCTATCAAGGGCTTCAAAGGCAATGGCGAGCTCACGGATGCATTTTTCACGACTGCACTTTTACACACGCCGGATATCGAGGAAATCGAGATCATCGACAAATGGTACGGCGACGACGTCAGGAGTGCACGAAGATGGATCGAACCTGTTCGGATGAAAGTGCCACACGGCTTCTACAACCTGAGGTCCGCGAGTGTCACCATGGCATGTATGCAATTCGACGATGTGATCATTCTGATGCGCCTGCCTTCTCTGCGTCGCCTGCAACTCTGCAGCCTTGTTGAACCCGAAGTTCGCGCCATGGGCCTCGGTATTCCACCTCGATCGTTCTCCAATGTCGATGACTTGAGTTTTCGATCATGTCGGCTGAACTGGAAGACTGTAGCTTGGATGATCGCACCATGTAGGGTTCTACGATGCTTCAGCTACGTCAGTTTCAATCTTGCGTTGTTGCGCCTATCAAGCCCTTCGGATCTGCAAGATCTGAAGAAGACGCTCGATAATAATCAGGGTCATCTCGAGTATCTAGACATTGAGGTCGACGTTCTGGTGTCCAGCGGCGAAGACCATGGCGAGATCGGCTCTTTTGCGGCCTATCCTCAGCTTAGACATCAGCGAGTTTGGCTGAATCCCTTCAAACCGTACCGAGAGCTGGGTTTGCTTACACCTTGAACTCGATGCAGCTCAAAACGTTGTCTTCGTACGTACAGGAGGCACTCCGGCGCTGTCAGCAAAACTATCATTTCATTAAGTGTAGTCAATTTCTACTTCTTCTCCAGTCTCTTCATCACCACTTTAGCGCACTCTTCAAAGCAGCAGCCAAGACAGTTCCCTCTGCCACATGCGTCGCAGCATTCGGATGATAGTCACACCCCACTGCACTCCCCTGCGTGGGCCAATCCAAAAAATGCGCCTTTGCACCGATCTGCTTGACAGCATCCTGCACTGCCTTGGTCTGGTTCGTCTTCTGCGCGTCTGCCGCCGTGGGGTACGAATCACTCAGCATCGGGCTGTTGAGCAAGAAAAACTGCGCGTTGGAGTACTTGGACTGGATCTGCTTGACGAACTTCACGAGGCCGGCTGTGAAGGTAGCGGGGTTAAGGACCTCGCGTGCTGCGTAGGATTGACCCGACGCGTCGAAGCCGAGGTACGACCAGTCGTTGGTTCCAAGGTTGATCACAACGGCGCTGGGTCTCCAGGATGAGGGGAAGGTATAGCTGTTGTCTGCCTCGTTGGCGCCGTAGCGTGTGTACAGTTCTGGGATCAGTGGAGAGGTGTCGGTGGTGCTAGAGGCGATGTTGCGGACAAGGCCTTTGCCGCTCCAAGCGATGACATGGTAATCTGCGTTCACCGCGTTGGCAGCCAGTACGCCGTAGGTTTTGGGATTGTCGGTCACGGCAGCGTTGTTGGTGCAGGGGTTTGTGCCGTCGAGACCGTAGCCGACGGTGATGGAGTCGCCGATGATTTCGATTTGGCGGGTGAGTGGCTTCTCAGCGACGAAGGCGCCATCCGTGGTAACGGTGTTGATGGACACTGTCCCTAGGGCTGTCTCGGAGCGACGGCGGAGGACGACAGAGTGGGTGCCTTTTGTGAGTTTGGGAGTGGTAATGGTGGTGTTAACAACCTTTGCGATCTCTGTGGGCGCTTTGCCGTCGATGACTAGGTCGAAGCTGTTGTCGCCGACGATGTTGGTGAGGCTGATGGTGGCCGAGGTTCCCTTGAACATGAACGAAACGCCGGTGCCGGGCCAGGTGAGCTCTTTGGTTGCTGGGTTTACTCGCCCGAGGAGACGATACCCAGCAGCAGCAGCAGGAGCTGATGCGGGTATTGCGGTGACTAAACCGACGAAGAGAAGAAGTGGAGCGAACATTTCGTAAGCTGGCTTCTGAGCTCAGAGGATCGAGCTGCTGTTGCTGTTGCTGTCTTCGTAGGTCCTGCCAGGGAGCAATTCGGCTTTTTGTCGCGGAAGTGCTACGGAACACTGTCACCGTACTGGGATCCGTCTCTTCTTAAGCAAATCATAAGAAGAGTAGTGCGGAGAAAGTGGAGATCTTGGTGAGGTTCATGCCGGCTCCACAGTCCTGAGGAACCGGTTAATATACAAGATATGACGCTAGTAACTCGAAACATCTGTCTTATTGGCTGTGGTAGATTGCCCTCGGTACAAAGGATGGAGAGATCTGCCTAGCTTCAGGGACTACATACGGAGTGGATGCTCCGTCGTACCTGGATCTGGCCAAGACTCACCTTCGTGTGGTGTGTTGTGGAATACTTCGCGTCGCCAAACACATGGAAGAGGAGGTTGAGACAGCAGTAGTGGAAACGCCCAATCTTTCTTAGTGCCAATGTGACGCCTCTCTCGTACCTTTGACTATTGTTGGGTGCGCGGATGGGATGGATTGATGAATTGACGAGAAAGCGTAGATCGTGTGCGTACGGTACATGCTATCGTCAAGACTGTAGGGTGGACGCGTTTCCTGTATTACGAATATCTTACTGCTTCATCATCTTCCTTGTGGCGCCCTCCATCCACAGCTTCGTGTACCACCTGTGTGCAAGCTGGAATTTCCACGGCAGCGGTTCCAGACCCTGGCCCTCCTCCGTTGTGTTGACGAACACACTCTTGAGGTGGAACGTCGCAGTATCCGCCTTCTCGTCGGTGCTGACCTCCATCGAGAAGAGTCCGTCGCTGCCGCGGTGGTCCTGGTTTAACGGCGAGTCTCCACAGCGTACGATGACCTGCATTGGTCAGCCAATCTGCGGTCAATAATACCAGCATCTGCAGTTGACGTACCTTGTGTGCACTATGCTCCACAACCTCGAAATGGTCCACAATCTTCTCTCCGACAGGATATTCGCTCTCTTCAAGCTGCTTCACATCCCATAGGTGATTTTCTCTCCCAGGAAGAGCGCGATACTTTCTCTCAAGGTACCTTCTCTGCACCCGGAAGCCGATACCGCTCCAGATTCCCCTGCAAAAGTCCGTCGTCAAGCGCTCAACCGGCATCTTTTCCCCCTGCCTTAAGCCATACCTCTCCCTGAACTTCTGCAGCGGCAGCGTCTTGATTGCGTGGTCGATGCACACGGGCGCGTTTTTGAGAGGATTGTGTTTCGTGAAGGTCGTCGTGAGGAAATCGGGCGACGAGGTGTCGTACGGCACGAACGTGGTGTTGCGCGAGTAGAAGCTGAAGACTGAGTAGCCGAGGAGCGCGTTTGCGCCTGCTGCGCCCGCGAGGCCGAGGACGACGCCGAAAAGGCGTTTCGTGCCGGATATGCGCTTGAACTCGGGGGGAGGGGAAATTGTGTTCATTTTGGGCGGAATTGGGGTGCAATGGAGGTTGGGGGCGGGGACATGGAGATGCTATCTGCCCGCGTCGAGCTCTTGAAGATTGTGGACCCGGTCGGAGCTCGGCCGGAGTTCGCAGCGAGAGCTGTCTCAAAACCAGACATCTGGCAAGCAGCGGGAAGAATTCGCACCATGAGTCGATTCAGTAAAACTGAGGGCAATATGCAAGCTCAGAGATCAAAGTTTGTCGGCTCGCCCAAAGATATGTGTGACACTACTGGCGTGCGGGTAAGAGAGATCGAGCAAACCGAAGCCTGTCGGTGTCTGAAGAGCAAACACCGACAATATCAAGGATACCGTTAGTGGATCAAGTCGAAAGAGGTGGAAAGAAGGGCTTTCTGACGTGTGTAGGCAGTACTCTTCTAGCTTCTGAACAACATAAGCCCCGCCTCCTCAGCTTCCGCCTCAATCTCGCTCTCGCTCTCCACGTTTTCTCCCAGTCTCAATAGATTGCCGAACAAGCTGCCAAACAGCTCGTCCCTTTGCCTTTCGCCCCATTCTCCTCGCTCCTCGGGTGCCATGAAATTCTGCAGCTTCTCCTGCACAGTGTACCGTAATCTTCTGCCCTTGCTGGCCTTTGTGTCGACCACCTTCTTGGTCTTGGCTTCTCTTGCAACCTGCCATGGGGCTTGCACAACAAATTCTGATGTGCCGTTGGCGTTGACGCCCGCCGAGCGCTGTTCCAGCAATTCCTTGAGGAGGAGACCGTAAAAGTCGGCATCGTCGTAGATGGCGGCGTCTGGTTGCGCACCCTTGTGCGCAGATTGCAGAGGCGCACACGAACGTGGCGTCTGGGTGCGAGTGACCAGGTGCGGGGATGTGAGCTGCGAGCCAAGCACCTCGGTGAGCGTCTGCTGCGACGAGGCGTTGAGGCGTGCCTTGTTGTTCGTGACGGTGGCTGCTTTGGTCTTGTTGGACCAGCGCTCGAGTACAGCTTTCCTCTGTGGCATTGCTGCCCTCTCCGTGCTCTTTATCGAGGTCCAGATGTCGCTGGAGGGAGTGTTGGCATCGAACGTGGTGCGCTTGCGCTTCTCGCCAGTTCGTGACTCCTCGAGTGAAATGCGCAGGTCGGTGAGGTTGTTGAGCAGGGTGAGGGCAGCAGCCTCGGCAGCTGAGACGGATGCATCTGGCCCGGACGCCTCCGTGTGCTGCTTAGCGGCCATCGAGTTCGTTGAGATGAGAGCCTTCTGCAGGCGAATGCGCGTATTGAGGAGGGTATCGAAGGTCTTACGCTGCGTCTTGACAGCCGCGCCCTTTGCGACGTCTGATTGCGCACTGGCGGCGAGCGTCGAGGTCATGGACTTGGCGTCCTTCATGAGGTCGCGCACGGCAGCAGCGCCTGACTGGGTGTCGTCGCTAGACTCGTCATCGTCGTCGTCATCGTCGTCGTCCTGCTCGCCGTCCATGTCCACGTCTTCGCTGTCCACGTCTTCGTTCTCCTCCTCATCTTCGTCATCGTCTGAGCCGCTGTCCCCGTCGATCAGGGCGTTGAGGCCCTCGGAAAAGTCTGCCTCGTCGGCGCCATCCTCGCCCCCATCTTCGCTGTCCTCCTTGCTGTCCCCGTCGTCGAAGCCTCTGGCGAACGGATCGTCGCTGTCGCTGTCGCTGTTGTCGAGCTCGTCGCGGCTGACGCCGTGCCCGGCGTACTGCTTTCCAAGCGGCTCCATATCTTGCTGTCTCAGCTTGCTCTTGCCAACGGCGACATAGTGCTCGCGCCCCGCGTTCGCCTCTTCTTCTGCTTCGGACTCGGAGGGCCCGGCGTCTGAGCGCTCGTCTTCGCTCGAGCTCGGCGCAGGATCGAGGAGCGACTCGGGGTCGAAGTCTGGATGTTGTCAGCTGCGGAGAGAAGCCGCTTGTAATCGGGCGACTAACCACTGAGCTTGGATTTGCCCATATTGTGCGTTTGGTGGGCGATTACGACGACCACAACATGCAGCAGCAAAGTTCGTGCCTGCCCCACTGAAAAGTCCAGGAAGGCGCGAGGCAAGCGCGGACCGTCTCCACCGACCTCCGCGAATGCCGCAACCATGTCGACAGTCGACAACCCGCCATGTCCAAGTCACGGTTGCTCTCAACGCTGCGTTGTCTGCAGCACGAGAATCCCCTCGTGAGTCTGAATCTGGCCAAATCGGTCTCACGTGGGGAATTCCACTGAACACATCTCACAGGGCCTTCCGCGCTCCGGCGCACCGCCGCAGCTACCACGCATGCAGCGAGGGCTGCCGCAGAGACGAAGCATCAAAGACGTAAAGAAGGTGATTGCGGTATCTTCGGCAAAGGGCGGTGTGGGCAAGAGCACTATTGCTGGTGCGTCCAACAATGGGCCCTACCACGACAGTTTCAACGCTCACACGTCATAGTCAACCTTGCCCTCAGCTTCGTGCGCCGCGGCTACAGAGCGGGCATCCTCGACACCGACATCTTCGGGCCCTCGATCCCCACTCTCCTGAACCTGTCCGGCGAACCGCGCTTATCAGCAAGTGAGTCTTCGCCTGGCCGTACGCCACCCTCTCGTCTGACACCGTACAGACAACCAGTTGATACCGCTATCGAACTATGGTCTGAAGTCCATGTCCATGGGATATCTCATCCCAGAGTCCTCGCCAGTAGCATGGCGAGGCCTCATGGTCATGAAGGCCCTACAACAGCTACTTCACGAAGTAGAGTGGGGTGGATTAGACGTGTTGGTGCTCGACATGCCGCCAGGCACCGGCGATGTCCAGCTTACCATCACCCAGCAGCTCAACCTGAATGGCGCATTGATTGTGTCAACGCCACAGGATCTGTCGCTCAAGGACGCCGTGAAGGGCGTGGAGCTGTTCAAGAAAGTCAACGTGGATTTGCTCGGGCTGGTGTGCAACATGGCTGGCTTCAAATGTCCGGGCTGCGGCTCAGTCCATGAAGTGTTCGGAAACATGAGCAAAATCAGGGACATGTGCGGAAAATACGATCTGAAGATGCTTGGTGAGGTTCCTCTTCATACCAGCATTAGCGACGATGCCGATAAGGGAAAACCCACTGTTATCGCCGACCCTGACGGCGACAAAGCAGCAGTGTTCTTGGACATCGCTCGCCAAGTAGAGTCCTTGATTGGTGTCAACAGGTGACTAAACAGCTGAGGCCGGCGAGCCATGATAAGTTCAAGGCGCGTTCCATCCAGAAGACTACAAGTATTGCACAGGTACTGCAATCTTCGTCACCGACTCCAAAGCTCTCTGAATTCGTGCATGCACCGCTGAGCTGGGTAGCACGCTGATTGCCTCACGCCGGGGCCTTGGCGTGACCTAGAAGCGGGCTGCGGCTGCCTCCTGGTCTAAAAATCTCGCATTATGCCTGTGCCACCAATCACTTTGACCGATATTCAAGTGCTATTGTTCACAGCATATCAATAGCTATGGGTCAAATGCTGTTCTGCGTCTAGTGCGTGCAGTCTACCAGGGGCCTGAACATATCCACTTGAGGCGCTGGAGCTATCATTCCTCACATATCTTTCTTACTGCTGTACAGTTATTGCTACAATACGTCCAACATCAAGAGGATATTAAAAAGTCTGCAAGACAAATTTCAGAGAACATGCTAATAACATTGAGCCGCTAAGCAAATTAAGATAGGTGTCAACTAAGAATGACGCAGGGACTACCGTACGTTGCTGATTAGTTATAGCCACACATACAAAAGCTACGTTGTCGCTAACAGCTGCGTCCCAAAGGTTGCAACAATTAAGTCTAATTAACTAACTCCAGGCAAGCCCTGCACTGCATTTTAAAATATTACTTAACACCGTCTAGCGCTTAAAAGAACCCCATTTCCTGTTATGCTGGCATGTAGGAGCTACTGCATCGGGAAAAGTTTTTCCATTGTCGAAATCGGGAAATGGTGGCATTGTGCTGTGCGCAACAGAACAGCTGGTAGGCCTGCAACGCCTACAACGGGCATACAACGTTCGTGCAATGTTTATCCAACGTTCAGCCAACGGCCCTAACAGTCCTAATGTTAAACCAACAGCCCCGATAGCCACAACAACCTCTAGTCCTAGCAGGATAGTAGCAATGCTTAATAAACTTAATTATTATTATAATAATATAACTAGGCTGGCGGATAGGTAGGGTATGTTTTTTACGTTTTGGCTTATAGCTTCTTAACTAGCAGAGATACGCTTACATAATCTATTATTTAATAGAAGCGCCTAGTATTGCGCCTTCTAATAAAAAAAGAATTAGCTTATTCTGCCTAGTATTAGCTATGTTATTAACACTACCTAGCAAAGTATACCTATTAATAGGTATGCTTGCTAGGTACCCCCCCTTTTTTAACCTTTTCTAGCCTCTAGCTTGTGCAGTTTAATAGTTATAACAAAACCCTCTACTACAGAAATGTAGAGGTAGTTTTTCTCTTTCTTTTAAGCCCTATTTCGCTAGAATCCATGTATTATTGACAAAGTTTTGGGGGGTACCCACGAAGGACGTTGGAGTATACCCATTCCGCCAGCCTAAATATAACGTATCTTGTAACGTACTCTATCACCGAGCTGGTTATATCACTAAACTGGTTAAAAACTCTTGGCGCGCCCAACTAATAATGTGGCAACTTGAATTACTTAGTATTAAATAGTAATCTAGCGTACTATGCACTTATATTAGATTTAAAATCTTCTCCTGTATCTTTCTAACACGTTTAAGTATTGTGCCTAGTACCTCTATAGTTTCTACAGTGCTGTTAGGCTAAATAGGTCCTTTCTTAAGTATCTACACTATAAGTCTTCTTTAACAGCTAAGCTGCTACAGACACCTTAGCAGCTACCTGTAATGCTGCTAGGCTGTACTTAAGTGTGCTACTATGCTAAATCTACTTTTGCTTGCGCGACTTCCTCCTACTTATAACTGCTAACGTACCTCACGGGCGAGTGGAACACCGAGCGAGTGGAACACTTTTGCCAAGCCCCCACCAAACCACCCTTTACATACTAATGCCTTCTCAACACCACTATTTAGACGTGTCAAACGAAGCTTAGATACAGCTTGCGCTTCAAGCTCTTTAACAAGACGCAACTCTATCCCTGCAACGCGCTGCTACTATCTACAGGGTTCCTTAAGCTACACTAAGTAGACAACGACAAGAGCAGTGAGGCTACTCTAGTAATTTACAAGTTTTTTCTGTGTAAGGGAATAGTATATCTAGGTTTGTAGACATATAGTGAGAGCCTGTGCTCTAGTTATAAACAAAGGAAATTAGTTGTCTGTTGTTTGCTATAGGTACTACTTGCGTGTGCCTACTTTAGTTTCTTAAATAAAAGCTAGAGTAGCTTAGAGTCCCCTATTTGTGACTAAGAGAAGAGGCATTGTTAGCCTTGTCTCCTATAGGCTGCTCTTTATTTTCTTTCTTGCTTCTCTGTAGTTTCTACAGCTAAGCAGTAGGTGTTAAGGTATTTATATATATCCACAGCTGTATTTAGAGCTTTCTGTTTTTTGTATATTGTATAGATATGCTTTGTTGTATCTATGTCCAAGCTTAAGCTAGTAGTATGCGCTTGCAATTTCTCTTCTAGTGTTTTTTAGCAGTATTATCTTGCTTGTTAGTTTTAGCAAGAATCTTGCTGTATAGGTGCTAGGATTTCTAAGCTTTGCTTTTGTAGAGTAGGATTAGAGTTTCTGTTACTACTCTTGTCTTCTAATAGCTTTAATCCTAATACCTGTTATTGCAAGGCTTGTAGTATTAGATACTAGTTGCTATTTTGTAGCTTGTTTTACCAAGGCATCTGCTTTTTTGTTTCCTGTAATATCTAGGTGTTCTAGGCTCTAGTGTAGGCTAATTGTTGCGCCTTTGCTGTGAATTGCCTTTGCTGCCTTTGTGCAGCAGATTTGCTAAGCTTGTCTAGGGTTATTAGAAGGAGTCTTTAGCCTTAAAATAGCTACCTAGTTATCTACAAAGACTTAGATCTCTTGTGTTGCTGTAGCTATAGAAGCTGCAAACTTAAAGGCTCTTGTTATGCCTTCTAGCTCTCTATTGTATACAATCTATCCTTTGCTAGTATTGTATTTAGTAGAGTAGATTTCTTTAGCCTGCTGTTTATAGTCTAGAGTAGTGACTCCTATTCCTATTCCTGTGCCTTTCTTAATAGAAGAGGCGTCTGTGTAGATAGCAAGTAGGTTGTCTCCTAGTCTCTATAGCATTTACATTTTGTGTTGCTCTGCTTTTTCTTCTTTAGAGAGTTTAGAGATCTTTGCTGTGTATAATATAGTCTTATTCTAGGTGTAGAAATAGTAGTCCTGCAGTTTTTCTTCTTCTATGCTAGGAGTAGCATTTTGTATTAATTATATAATTTGCGTAGGCTAAGTAGGTGGGCCTGTTCTTAGCCTTAAGAGAGCAGCTTCTTCCTCTTATTCTATGCTAGACTCTAAGTCTTCTCTTTAGAACTGTAGAGTAGCTTTTAGAGTCTTAATTATAATGTAAATAGGGTGGTCTTTAGGTAGCTTCCTAGCTCTAAAGGTGTACTTTCTTAGAGCAGTATTTAGTCTTATAGTAGGGGGAGGAAGTGCTGCTTCTGTCTCCTGTGGTGCTATAGGAGAGGTCCTAAAGGTTCCTAGGATTTTTCTTAGGGCAAGATTCTGCAGTCCTTGGAGTTGCTTTGTTATTCCTGCTTGTTGTTTCTAGAAGACCTGGCAGCCATAATCTGCGATGCTAGAAACGCATGCTAAGTATAGCTGTCTTATAGCGCTAGGAGCTTTGCACAGGCAGAGGTACCTAATCTCTGTCTGCTTTTTAGAGCTGAAAAATAAGGTAAAAAGGCTGTCTTAGTTTTACTATTCTTGCCTTATACTCTATTCTTACTAGCCTAACAAGTAGACCTCTAGGAATAGAGAGTAAGGTTAGAAAGAAAGCAGAAAACTAAGCAAAGGCTTATTACTGTCTGTTATATAGCTAGGCTGTTTTTTTAGGATTTTAGTGTTCTTGTAGATAAGATCTTTAATAAGATAAGATTTTCTGATAAGGGTTAGTAGTCTATGCAGTGAACAGTTGAAAATTTGAACAGGAGGACGGCTCTCTTGCACCAGGCAGCGCGAGGCAACCAGGCGCCTAGAGGCTCTAGGAGTTTCAGAGTAGTATAACGTACCCCACGGGCGAGTCGGACACACGGGCGAGTCGGACACTTTTGCCAAGACCCTACCAAAACACCCTTACTACACCAATGCCTCTCCAC